AATCTCCTCACTCCTGGCTTCCCTCCTAACCATGTCCTGGCTCACCTCCAGAGCTGCCAAGTTTATGCCAGAAGCAGGAGGTAGATTTGTATGGGGCTGAAGGAAGATCTGGAGCTCTGTTAAATTTTCAAGCCCAGATGGGGCAATATGATTTGTGTGTTTATGTCAGTATGCCATACATCACAACTATCTGTGTGCTGACGTCAGCTTTGATTGGACATTAATGTGCTGAACACTGCAAACTAGAAAATACATGATAGATACAGATCTATGGCAACAATGCCACATAAGCAAATGTCTGTTTGGTGTGGCGATTCACTGTGCAAAATGTTTCCCAAAATACACTGCATTAAGCCAGGAGACTATTTTGACACACTTTAAAAACAAAAACAAAATCAGTCTGGGCAAATAGACTACAATTTAAGAAAACAAACCTGTTCAGAAGAAGAGCTGAAACCAACATACTGAAGTATGTATCATTAGGCAAATACTGAAATGCTATCCCTCATTATAATCTTTCCAGAATTAAGACTAAATAGGAAAGGTGCTCTTCTTATGATTTGCAGGACTATTAATGATGAGGATGCCTTGCTGACAGTTGAGCATCTATCCACAGTTTTTGTAACCCATTGTTATAAGAACCAGCAAGCAAAAACGTCGATGGACAGCAAATGTTTTTTCAAATGATCGAATATTTTTTCTATACCGAGAGCTTAGGTTAGCTTCCAGAAACCGTCTGTGTTTGTTTATTTAACTATTTTGTATTTCTTCAAATAGCTTCTACAAATAGCATCCAGCAGCCTGCTGAAGAACTGGCAAAATACAGTAATTTCTGATCTGTGGATTTATAGAGGTCACTGGCTACTTCAGATTTATATTTATTCCAACTTTATGTGGTTTTCCCTGTAGAATAATGTGACCAAAATTTTCCATTAAAATATAGTATGCTGTCTCTCTCTCTTGCTAGCAGAGGAAGTAATTTGCAAGTATGCTTTAATATTTCAGGGGTGGATATAATAACAAAGTTTAGGGATTGATGTGTAGGCAGTGTTCTTTTACCTTCGATCAATTATGTTATTCCTGAGAAAGGGTATTCTGTTGTATATCACTATTGTATCATTATCCATCATTAGACTTTGTAGATAAAATTGAAGTTCCCTGATTCTATGGGGATAGATCGTTTTGGCCTGTGCACAAGTAGCGGCTCTAAAAAGAGACCATTCACCAGGATTTAATGCCTTCTGGTCCATACGGTGAGGAAGGGAGGGAATGTAAACGTACCGTGGGATCAGATTGGGCTATGCAGGACAGGCCACAGCTATGTAGCAGTTAAAAAAGGGAATTCAGTTCTTTGATGGAAGTAGGCAGTGTTCACCTTTCATGTCTGCTTCGTAGGCTTCTCTGTGGCTAGGAAATACACTGTTATTTAAATGTGGGTTCATGGTGATTTGGTCTTGATACCCCTGAAGGTACGGGTTTAGCACCTACAGCCATCAAGAATGAGAGTATACCAGCTGTCCAGGCAGGTTTAAGATAACTACATCTTATCTTAAAGAAATATTTTGCTATTTAGCACAGATTTGTCTCTTTTCATTTTTTTTCTCATTAAATACTGACATCATCAAAGCATTTAAGAACATTTTATCCTGAGTTACCTTTGAAGATCTCTGTTGTGACCTTTGAATGTTGCTTTGTGGTCTGTAAAAGTAAAGAAAGAAAACTATACAGAAAACAGCTTATTTAGGGCACATGACAGCACATTGTTGCACAAGACATAAGGTATTGCTTATAAATCATAAATATATTGAGAAATTTTCATGCAACTAGAAGTTTTAAATTAATATGTTGTGTAGAGAGGAACTTTTAGAAAGAAAAATACTGGATGAAATGCTTTTATTTTCCATGTTGTTTGACTGATGACCAAATGCATAATTGTGTGGGTTGTGGTTGCTCAAAATATTAGAGGTGATATGCCTACGTGTATTAAAAAACAAGGTTTTCAGAACACAAACAAAATCTGGGCATCCAACTCATAGGAGAGAAGTCAATGAGAGGTGCTTAACTGCCATATAGCTTTTAAGTATCTCTGATGTGAGCAAATGCTTATGTTGGGAAGATTCAGGAGTGTACGAATTTAGTGCTGAGTTAACCCTTTTATGATTTCTGCTTGTCAGATATATAGTTTCTATAGACAGACATTTTAAGTCTTTTTTTTTAAAGAAAAAAGCCTTCTAATGTGATTTCTAAGTATTGATGACCTATTTTTTCCCCACAGTTTGTCATTGAGAAGACCAAGGCTTGCTCTATGAACATTAATTACCTATTTCATCACATAGGATGTGTATTTTGTTTCCATGTCTTACAGAATAAAGCAATTATGGAACGTGTAACAAACTTGTCAGATATGGTGGTTGGTCTTGAATCATTTATTGGCTCTGAGAGAGAAACCAATCCATTATACAAGGATTACCATGGTAAGTTCCATCTTTGGCAATGCAAAAAGTCTGCCCTGAGTATTTCTAGGGCACTTAGTGGCTTACCTTCCTATTGGGTATCTGCTATAAAGTAGCATTTGATTTCATTTTAGAATGTGCCTCTTAAATGTTCCTCCTTGCTAACCAGTCTTGAGTTAGGAAAATTTTCAGTAAAGTGCATTAAGGCTGCAAAGGAAACATGGCAACTCCTTGCATGTTGTCAAGCCGTATTACTGAGGCATGGCTCAGTCAGATGTACATCTCAACAGGCAGGCTTTGGGGAATTCACATGCAGAGGAGGCTTGGCAATCATCTGACCAGCGAGCTGAACTTGTCATGAAATCAATACTTTTGATCTGCCAAGTTTTAAACAGAGAACATGGAAAAACATATATTATAAAGGTGAATAAACTGCTAAATGATGTGCTATATAAACTTTATCTAAAAAAATGTTCTATTTTTCAGCTTTAAATTACAGCAGTTACATGTTTAAAGAAATGAGTGGATATGTGTGGCATGTAAAATATGAAACTAATTTTGGTAGAAAGTCATGTAGTCTTTCAAACGATTTCTCTTCAAAATGTGGAATGGTGTTTAATCTTGCAGTTTGTTTCCCAAAGATTTTGTTAGCTGTTGCAGCAGAACTATTTAAATTTTAAAAGATTAGATTAGAAGTTATGCATAGCCAAAGCAGTGAATAACAAACAGTTTTAGCTAATCTGGAGCAGTGCTCTGAGTGTGCATAAATTACAGCTATTATTATTGTGATACTACTGTAGTTCCATGGAAACCTTTGGTTGAAAGTAAACTGCTTATCTGAAACCTGCTGTAAACATGGGAGAATGTGGCAGTGTTTTCCATAGCAGAATATATAGAAAAAGAAGCAAAGATGGTGTCGAAACACCACTGCCTGTATGCAGGATGCAATTAATAAATCAGAGAAAAATATTTTTGACTAAGAAAATAGTGCACATTTCATTATTTGAAAAAGGTGAATGAAAAGGAAACCATGAACAAAACCTAGTATAATTTGCCTAATTATTTTTCCAATTGTGTAATCGTGATGTGGCATTTGTTTATGCTAACATAATTCTGTCAATTTGATACTCCTTTTCTCAGTAGTGTAGAGATCCTTTAAGACAATGTGTGTTTTAGCAGTTATTTCCTATAAAAATGTATGCTAAATAATTTTTGGTACTACTTAATAAAAAATATATGCCAAAACATAGCATTTGAGATTTAGCCAACCTTAATTTAACATTGTAAAAATAGCTGGTTTTAACAGTTTTAACTTTGTGAATTCTTTTTGCTTAAAAGTATGTTTTAACATGATTTATTTGCTGCACATGATGAAAGATTTTGACATTGCTGAGGAGAAGTTTGATTAAATTATTGCACTATTTAATGAATCCTGCATTAATAATTTTATTAAGCTGCCTGCAAATTTAGATGGTTGAAAAGTCAATAAAATAACAAAAGAATTATATATAGATGATTCTTAAATAAAAATGATAAGAAAATTATATATAAACAACCCTATGTTATACCTGCTGTTCTTAAATATTACAATTATATTTTGAACTCAAAAGCCAAACAAATAGTTCTTTTATGTCACCAGACTGGAGGCAGGGATGGAAAGTTTCAAAGTGTAAAAATATTTTTCTAGTATTATTGAGGATTTTTGTAATTAGTACCCATAAAAATTATGCTTTTTGAAGTATTTCAATTTTAGGAAACTTTATTCCCTTATTCTTCCTTTTAAAAAAATAAATAAAACCCTGAAAAATTACTTGTCTTATTTTAAATTAGGATTTTAGTGTTTGGGGTTTTCTTTCTCACATCTGCCGTTTTCAAGTAAGATGTCTCTTCTAAATGTTCAGTATTTCCATTTAGATGCTGGCTTTATGAGTAGCAAATATAGGCCAGTAATTGAGAAGCCCTGTAGAATTTTCCTGGTTTTCAGATGTAGAAAATCACCCTTAGGTTGTTCAGAAACTATATTAGGCTGCACAAAAACCATCCAGCGTCCTTGTCAGAAGAAATCAGCTTGAGTCGCAGCTGACAGAATGCAGAGCTTGCAGTGCACCTAGTACTGTTAAAAACATCTGAGCGGCTATATAAGCCTCCTGCACAAAGAAAATGTATTTTTCTTAGGATGGTGTAGGGGTTAAAATTTATCGAAGAACATGATCTAAATCAGTGTTTTCCAGAAGCTCTTTAAAAGTCATTTCCAGGGTGCAAAATGAAGGACTTCTCATTAGAGCTTCAGTGGTTATCAGTAACCCATAAGCCTTGTTTTGCTGGCTGCTTACTGGTGCATTTAATAAAATAAAGATCACTCAGTGGTGCCGTGGGCAGCATGCAAGGTGATAGCCATATTTGCTTACTGTAAATACAAGAGAAAATCACACACAAACCGGCTGTAGTTTTGACAAGTATTACGATCCCTCTTTACATCTGTACTTCTGTACCAAAGTGCAATTAGTTTTCCTCGCACAAGGATTTCTGTTTATCTTATTCTGCTTGATTACTTGAGTATAATCGCACCGTTTGCTTCATTGCTCCTGGTAGTAAGCTCCAGTTTAAAAAGGGGAGGATGAGTGTGTGTAAATATACAGAATTCTGCTGTAAGACTCTAATTTATGCATCCGGATGACAGCGTTTTCTTAATTTTTTCCCTTCTTTACTCTTTCTTTCCACAAGGTTTGGTTCATGTACGTCAGATTCCTCGGCTTAATAGCTTGATCTGTGATGTGTCAGACACGAAGGACCTTGCTTTTAGATTAAAAAGGAAGCTGTTCACCATCGAGGTAAGAGAAACAGTTTTGTTTCACTATTTAGAACCCAAAAGGTGGAGCTAATCCCATCTCTTGTGTTTCGTTTTGTGAAATACATAAAATATGCATCAGATGTTGTAAATTCATTTCATTCTGGTTTTGCTGTTCAGAATGGCTTTATAAAATATTGTAATATGCCTTCTAATTAAAAATGTCTCATTTGCTGCACTAAATCGGTCTGTTATAAATAGTTTATTTTGGTTTAAAATGTACATAGAAAGTAGGCCACAACCTTCAATAACAAAGCGTGACATGTTTCTAAGGATGTCAGAAGCATATTTAATTAAATGTTAATGACTTGCTCTTACTTGTGTTAGTGGGTGGGAAAGTAGCTACATGTTATTACCCCAGTAGAGGGATTTTAATGTATAATGCTGCCTAAAATTGTGTGTGGTATGAGGGATAAGTGTCCTTATCAGTATTCAGAAACCATTTTCTTCGCATTACTGAAATCACCTTTCGCTCTTTCATGTCATTTTAAACACAGTATCATTTACACTAATGTCCTTAAGTAAATTTCCTACTAAATTTAAACTTTTTTCCATGACCTTTATGCAGACAGTCCAGAGAGAAGGCAGTCATACAAAAGATGTATTTCATTTTAATCTTGCTAAAGAGCAAATGAACATAGCACTATTAAGCAATTAGAGCTGATGTATTTATTAACCAAGTAATGCTTAAAGATGGGAGATGGCTTTCGGGGTGATGTGATAGTCATCGGTACAGTCTGGGCAAATTTTTTTTAACAAAGACATAAAACAGCCAAGCATCCCTGACAAACCATTTTGTTTAATCTCTTTTCAAATGAAAAGCTCTTAAGCAGGCCACTTGTCTTAACTGCTTGAAACCATAAAAAGAGAGAATTGCCACCAATAAATTAGCATATTTTTTACTCCATCACCAAATGATGGTCAATGTGGCTTGGCACTGCTTTGGTGTTTGGGACTTCACCCTTAAGTGACCACTTTGGCCCTTATTTGACCCTCTGCCCTTTTTAGCTGGCCACTTGATAAGGTAACTTAAGGGTTCTCTCTCTTCTCTTCTCTTCTCTTCTCTTCTCTTCTCTTCTCTTCTCTTCTCTTCTCTTCACTGCCTGCCTGCCCGCCCCCCCCACCCCCCTCCACAATTGCAAGTAGCCTTAACCTATAAATCATTGAAAGGGCCCTATCAAGTGACAAATTAAGGTGCCCTCCTCCTAATTAATGGTCATCAATGTCTTTAATTATCTAATCCTATTGAGAGTAGTTAATAGTTAATCAGGCAGGCAGTTCTTCATGCAGGTCATCTCTGCATGAGTGCTAGAAGTTTCTCAACTGGAGGGGTCCTCTTCAGAAGCCACTTAAAGGCAAATACGTGAAGGAGGGTTTTTTTTCCCCAAAGGCATTCCTTCATAATGTTTCTCACTTTCCAGAGAATGCAGCTAATGAAACCAGGCATTGTGAGGCATTAAACCATTTTAACAACTGCTTGTGAGCAGTACATTAGAAACAAAAACCATAATAGTCTGTGGTTGGCTTTAAAATACGAATGTTCTTACTGTTTTCAGAAGTGCAGGGAAGCATGCACCCTCATTTCACAGCGTAGTAAATTCTTGTTTATTATTGCTATGAATTAGAGTATTTGGGTTTTTTTCCTCACCATGAATCCTGACTCTGAATATATTTATGTCAGCCATCTATGAGATTCTAATTTGTAATGTTATTTAGAAAGGAAATAAAAGCTTTGGCAGGAGGCTCTGTGAAAAGAATTGAATTAGCCATAGGACGGAAGCATTGGAAACGGGTGTAGTGGAACTCTCGAAACAACCTGTTGCCCTAGACATACGTAGGTGACCCACGTGTATAATTTCTGCCTTCATTGCTCAGCTGCAGCCCCTTTTGAATAACTTCAGTTTTTGTTAGAGATATGCTTTCTATAAGCTGAACTGACACAAACTAGCCCTTTTTGAACACGTTAGATCACTGTCCTACTGTGATCTTCCTGTACACATTTCACTAATCTATAATACATATGTTTTTCTTCCCCATACTATTAGAGAAGGCAGACTACATCTAGGCTGACTAGAGCAATGAGGTCAATAAGAAAATGGAAGCAAGGGAAAACTGAATTAAGAAAGAATGTGAATACAGTCTTTTAAAATGGATTTCTGCAGTTAGAATGTGATGAGTCAGCATCTGATGGTAAAAACATAAAGCAGCACAACAGTGTGTTACAAGCAACAGTGTACTTTATACAAAGTACAACTAAGTTTGTGACTTCTTCAGTATGTAGCTTAAATATAAAGTGAAAATCTATTTTGAGTATGTTACAGTATTTGGAAAGCTTCTGCTTAGTTATATACACAGCTTAGGGTAAAAACATTGATCTGTACTTGAAATGCCAATTTCAAATCAAATTACGTAAGTAAAGATAGAAATACACAGCCTATGACTTATGACAAAATTTCTCCAGAAACAGTTTTCATCACTAGACCATTCTTTTTTTTTTTACATTTTAAAATAAGGGCATGGGACATGGATTTTCTCCTCTCTGGATTGCTCACCTGTTAGATAACTCTTTATGGTTTGGCCTTCATCAGTTAAAAACCCTTAAATGTCAAATCAGTTTTATTAGATTGCAATTTTGTGGGAGGGACTCTGCTTCTTTCTAGTCTGCAGAATCATTTAACTGTTTCAGTCTTCCTCGTATCTTCTTCTTCAAAACAAGATTGATTGAAATGTATTCTAGAGGGACTTGGTTTTTATTCATGATGAAAATGTTTTTTTAGTGAATATTTATGAGTGTTTCTTCCATTTGTAAAATATGAGGTAGACTCTCTCTCCAGGAAAACTTACTTGTTTCTGGTAAAAGGTGGAGTAGCTATATCAAGCTTTCCCAAATCTTCACACATTAGTTAATAGCAATATATTATTATAGGCAATATTATCAGAGATTTATCTTATGTGCATACCACTTTAAAGGACACAATTTTGAAGTTAGCCTGTCTAATCCTATTTCTTCCCACTTTGGAATCTTAATTAGAAGGAGATAAAAACCATCATTTGACTAAATTATTGTCTTGAATCTGTAGCAAAAGGTATAATCCGCAATTGGGCCAATTAGTGTACCCCATAGTTAGCTATGCTGAGGCAGGAAACTTGATTAGATCTGACACCAGCCTAGTTCCCACTGTTGTTTTGCCAGGTATGATGGTCAGACTTCAAAGGGCTTGAGGCATCAGCAGGGCAAGGTTTGGAGGCCAGCTTAGGTCCGGTCGTTAATCTCTCTGCTAAAACCACAGCAGCCCTCGCACAAAACAAGCTTACACGACACAATCATGCGGTATTAAAGTTTGGGTTGAGTCATGCCAATTTGCCTTTGATTTTCTGATGATTGACTAAAAGATGGCTACATGACTAGACACATACTGAAAGTTTACTGATTAGGTAAGTTCCCCAAATATTTGAAATATTTTTTGATTTCTCAGTTAAATGATATGACAACCCGTTCATCTTAGTGAAACTTTTCAGTAGATCTGTTCTTGAAGTACTTTTTCCTGTGTTTGTAGCTCTGAATGTAACTTTTATCAACATTTCATAAATTTTCTAGGAACATTATGTTCATAGTTTTATTTGACAGAATTTTATCTTAGTTGTTCCAAAGCCTCATATATCAAACCGAAAGAATTTTGTTCCTAAATCTGATTTTTCATCTCAAAATTTCAAAGGAAAAATGTTTTTGTCTTTGTTATTGAGGTACATGTACAATTACTTGCAAAAAGGGAATTTCCTCTTAATTATTTTCCACCTCACCATTGAGTAAAGCGCTGTTCCATGGCTGTGATTACATAAGTGTTCCTTTCTTTTGCAGTCTGATTTGTTGAAATATTGCAGTAACAGTGACATGTTGCCATTCTGAGAAAAGCCTAAGGCTGCTTTAGTATTATTCCAAATGATTGAAATTGCCATCTTGCTGACTTTCCCTTGGGCAGCTTAAGGCCTGTTTACTTTTGTATTTGTTTCACATGTTCCCTCTGAGTTTGGCTGGCAGGACATCATTACCTGGTTTGACAAGACACTTGGAGAAGATTCATATTTTATTAACTCCCTTTATTACTGTCTGGTCAACATAAACCTCTCCAATTAAGTATTTAAAGTTAAAACTTGTGATAAATTCAGATAAATGTTTGCAAATAGGAATGTTTGTGAGGGTTTTCTTCTTAATTCTCTAGTTTTGCTTTACTGCTGATTTTTTAAGTCTTCAGGTAACAGTCAATTGTTAAAAGTATAGAGAATAGGCTTTTTCCTACAAGTTATCTATTATAGTTTGTCTAATAAATAATAGTTGTGAAATTTTTGGGTTTTTATTTTGATCGATACACAAGTAAGAGCCAGCTAATGTGCTTTTACTTTTTAATGGCTGTGTAGCACCTGTGCAAACCAGAATGCAGATCTTTAAAAGACAGCTCAGTTTGAAACCAAGTGCCATATACTATATAAAGAATTGCCACACAGCAAAAATAAGTTTCAAGGGCTTAATGTATGCCTTCAGGAGATTCTTTTCTGAGAAGTGTTGCCTAACAGGAAGAGAAGAAATTCAGAATCAGAGGAGTCCTGTGGCAGGAAAGTTGCTGGTTGCTCAGTGGCAAACAAACGCAATATGGTACTATGGAGCACTCTGTGCAATACCTTTTTCCTAGTGGTAATTGCCAGAGTAAAAAGTTATGTCTTTGGAAGGAAACATAATAGCAGAAAACATCAGTTAAGTCTATATAGAATTAAAAATAAATGTATCACTCCAAAGCCATCAAAATAATGCCCTTTCTTCATTCATCAATAAAGGAGTATAAGAAAAATAATAATTGGCACAATGAACAAGATTTAATTGTAACTCCAGAGAGTCATACGTATGTTATGTGTCTGGCATTGGCATTTGGAAGAAGACTTAAAACTCTTTTAAGATGGTGAATTTGACAATTAAAAATGGGAAATTCA